TCTCAACTGTGAGCCAGACTCTAATTCCGATATTACACTATGATAAAATAACTACAGCTAGATATTACACAACAGTCACTTGGCAGCAGTATCTGCAAGCCATTCATAGAAGTAATGAGGCTAACTGGGCCATAAACGCCTGGATAAAGCGCATCTGAGGCGGATGCTGCGTAATCACAGTGCGCTATCGATCCACGTAACGGGAGAAGCTGGCAGGCCGGGGTCAGCCTCAGCGGGCCACGGGAAACCTTGGCGGTGCCCTTGCTGATGTGAGTACCGCTGAAAGCAGACACCAGCAGCCTCCCCCCACCCCCCCCCCCCACGAGCTGCCCTTTGGGCGACATGATATCTGACCAGGGTTTTTAATATTTAACTGCCGCTAATGGGTCGTTCCTCCAGCCACGCTCTCACCTAAACACTTGAGACTCTAGATGTTTTTGGGCAAGATGTACTTGAGCCCGAAAAGATGCCAGAAACTGAAAAATCAACTTACTTGGTCAACCTTTTAAAAACATTTTAATGGCTTTTTAATTAGTTTAAAGCATAAATGAAGCCCTGGGCTTAAAATCTGTGAACAAAGGACGCGGACAGACAGGGATCTCCATGTTTTGAAGTGGTTAATGGATTAATTACACGCATCACCACGGACTAAGAGGGGGACTCTGCTGACATGCATTAGGCTCTGGAGAGCAGGGTTTCAACAGGACAAAGCAAAATCAGGAGAATATGGGGCCCACACCTCCACGTCTCTTTTCTGCAATGCCCCCTAGTGGTGAGAAGCCCCAGAACAAACTGGAGTTCTCTCTGGGTTACCTTGAGTTTTGCTGGACTGCTCTTCTTTCCCGCAGCTCCCCACAAAAACCACCGGCAGCTAAATACTATCACTCTAAAAGCAGAGCGCGCCAGGGACTCCGGCACGTCGTTTACTGTGACATGTGACAACTCTAACTCCATACAGACCTGTCCCAGCAGGGGGAGACCAAGACTCCTGAGGTGAGGACATCCTGAACCTACGGCGAGGCTCATAACCAGGCCCCAGCCACACAGCCTCCCAAGCAGCCGGGACGCAGCCTGGGGAGGCGCTGGCCACAGCACCGTGCGCTCCAGCTGCGAAAAGTCCCGCAACCCCAAAAAGCTGCCCGCCAACACGGCTCTACTCCTGCTCATGCTGAGAAGCAGGAAGAGTCTGCAAATAAACGGCGTTCCAACTTCATGCTGATGTACTGGACCCGAAGCACCGCTGGCAGAGTAGCGGCCTCCGCCTCAGGAAGCCAGACATTATGTTAAAACGGAACATTGTCAAAAAATCCATTCAAGCAATTCACGACGATCCGCCCCCTGGACAGATTTTTAAAAAGACACCATAGAGTCTGCCAAACACTATCGATAACCAACATCATTACTATATCTAACTACAGTCAAATACCAGTCTTTACAACTGCGTTTTGTGCCAAATGTACAGCATTATGACTAAACAGCGACTTCAATGCCACAATGACAAAACTACATTAAGGGGACTAGTCACACTTTAGCTATAAGAACAGCTATGCTAGTCTTACACATCAGCTTCGGGGCCAGTTGGCCTCCTGTGCTGGATATCGGGCCAGTTGTTCTAGCCACACATGCTAGCCATTGCTAGCTACCCTGACAGCAATGAAAAGCAAGTTACGCTCCCTTTTCCATTCGCCATAAGGCTTCAGTTCTTCGAGACAGAACACACAGAGCCTATTAACAAGGTGTGATGCCAGGGGGATGTAGCGGAAATGCAGTCAGCTCCTGTTTACTTTAGTATTACCACCTCTAAACAAGGCAGGGTTATTTTAGGAAAAACTAACACTTTTCTTTAAAAGCAGTCTTTCCTAGTGATTTGTATGATCGCCAATGGTACATAAATGCAGATGTGCTAAAATAAAGCCATGAGCATCTCTGCCACGTGGCGGTGTAGCTCAACTGTAAGAGCAAAGCACACAGCAAATTAGCCCTGGGGGGGGGGCTGAGCTATCAGTTTATTATGCAGGCGACAGCACTGGAGCATTCAGTTCCAATATTTGATAGCCTCATGTTCAGTCAACAAAGGCAAGACAAAACAGCCATTTTGATTGAGATGGGCGCAGCGTGTTCAGAGTCCCTGTTTTCAAACCTCTGCCACTCCGCAGAGAATCATAAATAATTGTCCGCCAATATCTCAGAGTCTCCCAGCGAGACAGAGAAGCATTTCAGCGTATAATAAAAACATTTTAGGAGTAATGAAAAGCAATTCCTATTATATGGCAATCATTCAAAACAAATCTGAACAGAAACGATAACATAATGCATCAATTTCTAATGGAGCTCTAATCATTGTAATGTATTAAATTGATTATATCTGGCAAAGAAAAAGTTTTAGGGCTCATTGACTGTGACGCACACTTGGGAAATGACGCCAGTCTTACCAGGAAGAACACATTAAGGGTGCTTTACGACATATCTGACCTTCTCTCCAGCATTAAGGCTAGCATGAGAATTACCATAACCGATGAGTGACTTTAGATACTTAATAAAAAGGTAGACAAACACTTTAGACAGCCATAAACATGATGGGAGTGGGATCAGACAGAACCATAGCTGGGGCCCAAATACATTACAGCCTTTATGCGTCTACTGGACATGCTACTGTTACACCCCAGTCTCTCTCTCAGTGCTTTGCACCTCCCACCTGGTAAACGCACCTTTCCAATGCTGACTAAGCATCTTTTTCCAAGTATTTCACGAGCCTTTTTAAATAAATCTTTGTTCATTGCAAAGGGCCCCAAAAAGTGCATTAAACTTCAAACTGCAGTTCGTTGTCTACTAGGGAAGGGAATCACCAGTGACCTCCTGATACCATATTATCATGATACCTAGGTCCAGATTCTATGTTTTGCAATTCTGCAAATATTGTGATTCACTGAGCATCCTGATTCAATTCTATGTTTTTCTCTGATTTTTTTTTTCTTTTTTAGAACTTTAAAACCATGTAAACAACCATGTAGCTGCACTTAATTCAACCAAGGCAGCACTTAAACAATTCAAAACTTCAAATACAACAACATAAATTTGAACTTAAAATTAGAAATGAGCAAAAAGCTACATTTGCTGTTATCGTGGCATAAACTACACCAAGGTTTTATGCCTCCCCCCTGGCTAATCTGTCTCAGTATGATGTCTAGCAATATGTGCGCGTATGCTCACCGTATTGCCACAATACTTTTGCAGGACAAAGTTTGCATACAGCAAGGCTCACGTCCGACTCCTCTTTACCATTTATATTTTGAAAGCCAAAGTTCCTCCATACATTGGATTTAAACTGTGGAGAAGCACGAATCTCCGCTATGTTGTCCACCATTCCTGTTATTGCGAAACAAAATTAGACAATAATTGGCTTCTACTACATGGAGTGCTGTGCTGCCTGTCAAGGTGGAAATAGTTTAGAGCACGCCACCTGTAGGATTATAGAGGAACTGCAACATTTCTCCACCTCGAATCCAAACATATATAAATGGATTTTAAAAATCAATATCGGACTTAGTGTGGAGATACATAAATCGCCACACAAAAAAAAAAGTGATACATAATCATTTTTTCCCTCCATCTCTATTGTTTACACATTGCTTAAGAAAATTAAAGAAAAAATCATCATTGATCAATCCATCACTCCTGAATACAAACACCACATGGTCAACCTAACAGTGATGAAATTATCCATCTACCCATCCACCCAACCACTCATCCTTCAGCACTTATCCAGTACAGTGAAGCAATGATCTCATTCCTGGAAGCACAGATCACAAAGCAGGGGATACCCTGGATAGGATGTCAGTCCAACAAAGGTGCATGCGCGCGCACACACGCACAGGACAAATGTACAGACTTCAAAAAGCCAAAATGGATGCAACTGGACGGTAGGAGAAAACCAGAGCACCCAAAGAAAACTCACACAACACAGTGAAAACACCAGATACACAGAGCAGGGCAAACACTCAAACTCGAACACAGGAGGTGCGAGGAAACGATGCAAATTACAGTTTACTGTATTAATTTCTTATTATGGGACACTTTTTAAAAATAAATTTAAATGCAAGACAAAATAGATTAAAGAAATCCATATTCAACCAAACCAAATCATCCTCTTTTCTTCAGTTATATGCATGTGTGAGCAGACTTAACTGACGCTCTCATGCTAGTTTTCCCATTAGGATTACAGTAGTCCATACATGTTTACTACAGAGTGCAGCCGGTGATAAACATCGGCTATAGCTAAAGAGTGATGAAGGCGGGCGGGCAGGGGGGCAGGGGGGGGGGCCCCGCATGAGGAGCGGCTGCAGGCACCGGGCCCCATGTTAAAATCTGCTCTTTGATCTGGTATGAGGAAGGAAAAGGGATATTCTATTTGATTAAACACGAGACACATTATTATAATAATAAGTGTCATGTCCTCTCACACATTTCCTGGCCTTGACCAGTTAAGATTATTTAGTCTAGCTTCGATACACCTTCTAATGCTTATCCTGGTCAGGGTCGTGGGAAACCTGGAGTCTTTCCCAGGCAGCACAGGGCCCAAGGCTGGGGGACACCCTGGATGGGATGTCAGTTCATCACAGGCCATAAACGTGTACAAGTATAAGAAGGTGTACATTGAAATGTATTCATTTTTGCATATCCCACCTTGCTCCCCTGTTTTATTAAGACATACACATATATAGTGAGTTGATAAGGAAGCTTAGGGTCAGAGCTGAAAGTGAGTCACTAATCAGCCACGCCTGGAGCATTTTTCACGGGCTTTCAAGGGGCAGCCTTTGCTCAAGGGCCCAACAGAGATGTGGGATTCAAACTGGCAGCCTGCTGATAACAGGCACAGAGACCTAACCCACTGAAGCACATACACCACAGGTAACTTAGGACAGCACTTAGGCACACTGCATGTCTTGGGTACCCCTCCCAAATCCAGGAAGTTGATGTGATTCGTCAGGCCTGGTGCTCACCTGGCCAGGGGGGGGGTCCGAGGCCAGCGCTGGGCCCTCTGCTCCGGCAGCACTCTTCTGGACCCGCAGCACCTCACCATAATCAGCGGAGTCGAAGTTAGTCTTCCACACCATGACCTGTGGTCCCAGCAAGAGAGAGAGGTCACCGTGACGACGCAGTCAGCCCAGTTAAAGAGTTAAGGGGCAGCAGGGCTCAGTGCCAGTGATCAGAAACAGAAACGGAAGCCTTTAATACCTCATTCTCACAAATAAAATGTGAGAAAATGTCTTTACCAATTATTTCAGGAGATTTCACACACTGCACTATAAATAAAGGGGAAATTAAATCCTGTGAACTAAATCGTTAATGTGTGACTGTAGTTTCTGAGACCAGCATATTTTAATGCGGCAAAAAAAAACCCAGACAGGAAAACCGAAAACAGAACTGCTTTAATGCTGAAAAATGTTAGAATATTCAGCATTCAGGGACATGGACAGAAGGAAGCTGCCCTCCGTCAGTCTTGGTTATGGGTTTTTTTTAATAACAATTTACCCACAATCCTCTCCTCCCACCTGATTGAGCAACACATAGGACACAGGGAGTCACCTGCTCGTCTGATCCACCAGAGGCGAAGTAGTCACCGGTCCTGGAGAAAGACACACAGGTAGCAGAGCCCTGGCAAGATGGAAAGAAAAGGAAGGGGTTGCTGAGGGGTGTGTGTGGGAGGGCAAAATCGAGCACACTGTCTGAGAAGGAAAAAAAAACTGGTATTACTAGGGAGTGTGGGAGGGCCAAACTGGGAATACCGTCCAATAATGAAGAAAATGAGCTTTACGCTGCATTCAAAGCAAGGCTGAGGAGGACACAGACCCCGACCTGAAGCAATCTGCTTCAAACATGCACCATGGGGAGCTGCTTTAAATCTCAGGCCCACTTAAACACAGTCATGAAAGTCAGATTCCAGCCCCCCCCAGCAGGGCTGCAGTGACATCAGCCAGTGAGCGGCAAGGTTATGCAGGGATGTGTACTGCATTAATAACTATAGCTGTTAAAGGACAAATTTCTAGGCTAAACTGTTCCCCGTTTCATACTGGGAACCGTGTAGAAATGTAGCACATGTCCCAAAATTCACTCTGGATTAAGGCTTTTCAGGAAAATCAATGCAGATCAATCCCTGTGCCACTGATTCACGAGTTTTTCATTTGGCCCATTTTAACACCAAAAATAGGATGCCAGATTTTCTCTGCACTCAGAATAATCTGATACAGAAAAACTGAAAGCAAGCGGTCCCAAAATAAAACAAATCTATAAGACCCTCTTGCGGATCATTCACGCCAACATTCTACACAGTGAATCCTGAATACCGTAACAGATATAGGAAAGAAATATAAACAGGAATTCCAAGCACATTCTTATATGATCACATTCGCTCTCACTCAGGTGTGGTTTACATATTTGGTCATTCAAAATGTGTGATGAAACAGAAGCTTTTTAGGTATTTCGCCCCAGAGGGATTGTGAGGACACAGTGCTAACAGATGGACAGTTACAGGCGTCTTCTGTCCCGATGACGGTGATCAGCGATGGACCACCTGGGCAGCAGGATACTCTGACAGGCTCCAGTGTGACTGAGAGGCCCTGCTTCATCCTGAGCACACAGCGGGTCTGAGACGACGCACCAGCATCCACTTCCCCGACACTCACGTCTTGTGAAACGGAAGCCCTGGCAGATGCCATCAAAGACAGGGATGGTGCCCTACCCCCCCCGCCCCCTTGTTGCTATGGTTACTTTTAAGACTTATTCTGCTCAAGTAAAAACATCAGCCCAGGCTGCAGCTGGCCAAGAGCGAGTGGCCGCACCCGTCATTCAGAAGCAGAGTGCCCCCGAGGTCAGGCTCCAGGATGGCGGCGGGTCGCTACCCACGCCGCATTCCGGAAGGGTCCCGCGATCCTGCGCTGGCCTGTCTGCACGCTGCCAGAACCACCAGAGGAGGAGGACAGCCCCGAGCAACCGCAGTCTGACCCGAGAGCCCACTCTGGTCTGGCGACCCATGCAGGGATTAAAGGGGACAGGAAGGAGCCCGGCCGCCCGGACAAAGCTGTAATACAGTTTGGCTCGACGCCCACTGCCTAAGATTGAGGGAAGCACAGACTCCACAAGCTGGGTCAGTCTGAGCCACGAGCCGCAGACGGGTGTGTGTTACGCTGCCCAGCTGGATGGCAAAGCTGAATATGGGGTCACCTCTGTAAAGGGTCGCACTGGTTTATATACTGCATGGCCATCAAACTCTCTGAAAATGAATCATTTTAAACTTTTAGTGCAATTACATCGCTGGCCCTGATCTCTCAGACATGTATGATTTACTATTTATAAACATCAATTCACCCATCCATCGACCGCCCAATCCCTGATCCCGTTCAGGGTCTCAAGGCACATATAGATCGTAATTACTCACCCAGCTAATCAATGGTGCTGAGCCTGATCTACAGGGCTCCCGTCAAACCCACGACACCATGCCTGAATCATGGACCCCAAAAGACCTTCCCAGGCTTCCATCTCCCTGAGAAACACGGGCCCTCTCCTCCCCACTTCCCACCCCTCACCATCAGGGCCCAAACGCAGATTCTGAGACAGACGACCAATGGTAAAAAAAACGCTACTGAGTCATCGACAAGTTTTGAGGGTTGAGGCCTAACAGGAGCTCTTTGTTAGTAGGGATGCAGATGAGACACCATAGCAACCAGCTCAGGACATTCCAGGGAACACACAAAAACTGAGTCACTTTCCTGGAAAAGTATGACAAAGTCATCAAGCCCTTGGGTACCAACATGATCAGATTAAATATTTCACAGCTCAGGCCAAACTACCAACCTCTCTCACCCCCCTCAAGTGAGCCCACACACCCGAAGTCATTCAATAAGCATATCGTTTAAAAAATAACAAATACTTCATTCCCATTTTTCCCCCTCAAAGTAGCATAAAAAATACTGGTGTGGATCTCACACAATCAAATAAATAAATAAATGACAAACAAAATGACAAAGCCTCCACTGGTGGATGAAAAGCAGCTAAATGCGTCAAACACCACGAACGCTAGATTTGACTTCTGGTCAGCGTCAACCTCTGCTGGCAAATCATGGCCTGGCTCCTCCCCCTTGTCGCCCTACAGCTACACTTATGCTTGGTGACGGACAGAAAATGCATGCGTGGCTCCCCCACCTTGGATGCGTCACGCATATATCTAGCGAGAGGCACCACACCGCCGGGGGCCTCAATGGATAAGCAGTTACCAAAAACAGATGTATGGAAAATAGCTCGTATAAACACCCCGTACATCAGCAGTCACGTGCCTGTGCAAATACACATAACATAGTAGGTAAAAGCAGGTCTGCAGCATTTCACACACACTGACAGGATCTTAAGCTTCATCAATTTGTTTTCTTCTTATCAAGATGAAAACGACAGGAAAACAGACTCCTTTCATGTCAGCCTTCATGCAGTTACATGGTTAAGCAATTAAACAGTTAATGTAAAACAGAGCTAAGATCCTTAGTCTCCAGTAATAATAACAGATGCATTGTATGGTCAGATTCAGTCCCATAATCACAGCGCCACCTATGGAACACAGCCAGTATGTTCATCCCATTCTACTAGCTGTACCTCACAGCCCACAGCATGACATCACAGAAATGACAACGTATAACTGGTCGGACAATTCAGTCCTGTTGGCCAAGCAGTTTTTAATGCATCAAAGTGGGGAGGAAAAAAACACTGAAAAAGATAATTATCATTGCGCTTTTCTGCAAAAAATCAACGGAAATGTATTTTTTTTTTTTAAATCCATTTTAAATGTATTGTATTTTTTCCTGCCGTCGCCAAGCAACGAACCAATTACTACTGCTGTGTCAGTCATCTAAGCCATTCATTATTAGCAAGACATGGAAAGATAATCATCAGTTAAATAAAGGAAACAATATCATCTCAGGCGTAATTTAATTTGCCGGGTCGTACCGAGCACGCGAAGGTGCGGCTGAGGAGCTGCTAATTGTTTTGACTGAAATTCAGCTTGGCCTCGAACACTGAGCAAAAAACGTAAGTAGGCGAGAAATCATTTTTATTTCGGGGGGAGGGAAAAAAAAATAAAAAAGTTGCAAAAAGGGTAGGAGGTGCAGATTACATGCAATTATGATTCTTACAAATAATATTCAAGGAGGAAAGGGCTTGCTGGCAGCCGTGAACGTTTTTTTGATAAAGCAAACACAGGACATCCATTTTAACACCTGGAACGGCGTGTTTCCAAAACAACGGGATGTGCGGCCGCTGCGGGTGCAGAGGACAGAATGTTCCAGGCGGAGGCAGGAGTGGGGGGATGGGGGGGGTTAGCCCCTCCACCTGCAGGAACACAATGCCACGGTCACCGAGACGGTACCCGCGCACAAAGGAAGAGACGGTGTGTGTCTGGCGGGGGGGGGGGGGGGGGGGGGGGGGGGGCCCACACGCTGCCACAGGAGAGGAGCCGGAGCGTCGGCGTGAAGGTGCCGGCGGGCTCTCCCCAGTACGGTGACTCAGTGGGTGCGAGTAGGCAGTTTCCTAGGCGTTATTAAAAATATACCGCAAAGACAGAACTTAAAGCTGCAGAAAGGGGAGCCCAATGTAAATAAACCTAATATGCTTCTGTCTGAGAGATTAATGAGAGAAGCGCGCACTTCAAAGCGTGCAGCGCCATTTCTATACACGGATGGGAAAGCAATCGGTAACAGAGAGCAAACGGGGACACGTTGTGTAATACCCACTGACAATTTATAACCGGCAGGCTAAAGCACTTTATATGTCAACTATTATCACAAAGGGTCGACAGGCCATGATCTGAAAGCTGCATAGTTCAGTTCGCAGTGCCTACTGGTCAAGGACCGCTTTGATTTTAAAACCTAACGGCGCTATTTTCTGGGAAGGAAACTAAAGATGAACTTCCACTTCTTCATATAACCAGTCTGATTTTCATAATCACTGTAACACAACAGGTTCAGAACAAGAAGGGTGAATGCTGAGCATCAATCTCCTGGAGGTTCTCCTGGGAGGGGTCTGACAGGCGGACGTTTTGGACACGGCCAGGCCCGGTACCTGATGTCCGTGCAAAGTGTACAGCAGCCGCCCTTCCAGCAGGTCCAGCACCTTCAGTGTGGAGTCATTGGAGGCCGTGATGAGGTAGTTCCCAGATGGGTGGAAGGACAGCCCATTCACCACCGCGCTGTGCACTGTGGAAGGAGAAGGGCAGAGCACATGGTCAACCAACGCTGTCTGCAGGATAGGTGCCTGGCAAATTCCCATGGGTCACATGAAGAGCGACAACCTCGCAACACCCCACAAAGCCACCAGGCATCTCTTTGTGCGCTTAGGACACCAACAAGCAGCGTGGTCTAGGAAGCATGGGGCGTGGCCCTGGAGGAAAACTGCGAGTACTACTATGTGAGCAGAGTGGGGAGCTCTGAGGAGCACCGGCAGGAAAACCCGTAAGACGACAAATAGGGCCGGTTCTGCATTACGGCAGGAAAACCCATAAGACGACAAATAGGGCCGGTTCTGCATTACCTCTGCGAGCAAATCTGACCTTAAAGGGGTGGCGGGCATAAATGGAGGTGGCTCAGGGCAAAGGCATCAGGTGAGCAATTAAATGCACAATAACAGTAATCTGGGCATCTTCCAAGCCCTTATCCTGGCCAGTGTAATGGGGCCCTGGGGCCCACAGGGCACAGAGCAGGGGGATACCCTGCATGGGATACCAGTCCATCCTAGGGAGCAGGACATATACACACACAGCAGAGATGGGTTTCAAACCCAAACTTGGGATGTAAGGTAAAAGTGTTACCCCTTAAGACACAGTGCTGCTCCTATAATATAACTCATATAACTTCAGGAAAAAAGACCTTTTCCTGGCTGACAAAAGTTTATTTGGCCATCAACAGAACCAGCAAGAGGTTTAATTCACACTGACAGGTACCTGTCTAACTTAGGTGAGATTCTGGCACCTTCTGACTTTGAAAAACTGAAGCATTGTGTGTCCAGGAGCTAAACTGTTGACTCATAAGGTGTTTTTGTAATTTCCAAAGATTCTTCAGTTTCTCCACCAACTCAATATCTGAGAATAAAGATTAAACATCTTCCCTGGAACACCTTGGGCCTTGGAAGCATGTCTACCCCTCAAGGGTCTCATCCCACATAATGGAATTGCTTTGTTTTTTTTTCATTTCAGATACAATCAGATACAATCTTATTTTTCATTGAAATCCAATGGGGAAAGAGGGAGGTAAGACCACCACAGAGGAGCACTTTGCTGCACTGTAATCAGCTGTAGTTGATGCTCCATCATGTAACGGGGATTCATGCCGGCAGCCATTTCCCTGGCTTTAAAGCCATCGCAATCACATGACAACAGAGAGGCCTTACCCGGTTAGACCGCAAAGCAAGCCTGAAAACGTCCTTTTTAACTAAAAGAACAACCATCATGAAGTTTTGTTTTAGTTCTTTAGGGCGATTTAACACACGAAAAAAAAAAAAAAAAAAACAGCAAGCAGCGGCTGTAGGAAACGCCAAATCCTCAACGTCCGCACGACATCACAACTGGGGATGTCACCTTGGTAGTGCTGCAGCAGCTTGGTGGTGCGGATGTCCCACACCTTGACGGTGCTGTCCGTGCTGGCGGCCGCGATGCAGGTGCCACTGGGGTGGAAATCAGCATGCGTCACACACCTGCACGGAGGAAGCGGATGAGGAGAAAATACTGATTGGGTCGCTGCTCACTTTTAACTAACAGCAGTATGAGAAAATCCTTTTCACAGCATAAAGACAGACTTCAGACTGTATAGTGTAGGTATAGATGTGACATTTCTGAAAGGACAGTGACCAAGACATTAGAACAACTACAACAATTATGTCTCTCCCCCAGAGTCTGAGAGAGATGGTGTTTCTCAATCCCAAGAACACACAATCATAGTTGCAGTCTTGGCAAGACCGGTCTCGCTAATTGCCATCCAAAAACAAACTTGGGACGCAATGAATCTTGGGATTGGTCTCATTTTGTGAGGATGCAACTGATGCATCTTTGATATTTGGGGCGGGGCAAGAATGCCATCTGGGGACTTTTACCGTCCTCTGCACTTCTGTATTGGAACTGGTCTTTAGCAAAGGAAGATGACATAAAACAGGTACATGAGAACACAAGTACGATCAAGTACGCATATTCTGAGATAAATAATTTAAACACAAACAACCTTCCAGAAAGTGTATGACAGGGGGTAATTAAAAATTTTCTCTTGGCCGTAGGATGTTGCAGCAGTACCAAACTGACACACTTCATCAACACACTCACCCTCCATGCTCATAAAAGGAGTGCACACACTCGCGGCTGGTTTTGTCCCAGACCTTGACGGTTTTGTCGTCACTGGATGAAAGAATCAGCCGACCATCTGGAGAAAACCTGAACAAGAGACAGTCTTAGCTTACCATCCTACAAATCTCGGTACGTGTCGTATTCCACTTGAATGCCAACACTAGCCAAACGACAGACGTCCATAGATCAAGTTTTCACCTAATGCCGAAATTACTCTAACACGGCGTCATGTTTAAAGTATTAATAGCACAGACTTAACGCACACAGGCCTTTTGTATCACACACAGCCTCTGGTTATGATATAATAACACTAAAACAGGGGGAAAAAATACAAAAAAGGTCCATCACATTCTAAAACAAGTAATGCAAAACCAGGTGGAAAAACTAGTATTTCATGTTGATATAGGAGGAAGCTAGCTCCTAAGGAAATTGAGTAAGCCACACCGTCGAGAGAAGTTAAACACCTCATGTGAAATCGAGTTCTGAACGGATCACCCAAACCAACAGTCGACAAACGAGCCATTGCGGTGACAACGTGTTAGAACAATCGGAAACACAACCCAAAGCCACCCCAGGAAGAGAGTTATTAAAATGATAAGTGAAACCAGCTATGCTTTCGGGAAGCTGGTTAAGTTACTTCAGAAGGCCACGCCCTCACACCCAGCTCCATAAGCAAGCTCCATGAGTGTGGAGGACTAATGAGCAGAGGAAAGCGGAGACAGCTCGCTTCCCTGAACAGGCTCTGACCAGCGCCCTTCCACAAGGCTCCTAACTCTGTTACCAACGCTTCAAGAATAACACTCAAGATAAACAAATCATCTGCCTTTTTCGGTCTTCTGGCAGCCGTCAACCGTACCCTTAACCCACGGATGGGCTTCAGAGCCGCCTGAGTGGTACCTACTTGGCACAGCGCACCCAGTTGATGTGCTGATTGAGGGAGAATAGGAACTTCTGTCGGTGCACCGTCCACACTTTGACGGTCTTGTCATCAGAGGCTGTGACCAGGGACTGGCCATCGCCGGAGAAGCTCACGCTGCGGACTGTGCCAGTGTGTGCACGGAAGGAGGTCGACTCACCCTTCCTAAATGGGGGGGGGGGCAATAATTACCATTAATAACGATTCAAAATGATTATACAGCTAATTACCAGCATCCAGGATGAACAAACCTAAAGCTAACTGGTGCAAACCCTTGTATAAATAACCCATAAACAAAACACAGGCAACAAAAAATCGAAAGTATGTTATAACAATGAATTTAACGAGCAGAGAGATGAGGTGGTACTTTATTGATCCCCGGAGGAAAATTAGTATGTTACAGCAGTTCAGATTCTGACAGCAAAAACCGAGACGTTCAGAGAAAACAGAGCAAATGGGGCAGAATAAAAAAAACGAAAAAAAATGTACAGATAAATAAAAAATGCGAATGTGAATAGATGTAGAAACATGAGAGAGAAAAATGCAAAGATGACAATGAGTACAGATGTGAATAAATGATATTTGGAATGAAATTCCAGCAGGACTGAGACACAAATGGACATGACAAACAGCAAGAAGGGCTCCCGCACAGAGGAGTCTCGTTCGGCCCACCAGGAAAATGCTGGTATGTCAGTTGTCGTCCAATCATGTACTGGCCGACTTAAACTGCACCACAGAAAAGGCCCTCATATACAAAAAAAAGCCATCTTGTGCATATTCACTACCCCACTGTATCGACAGTGTCCTCGGTCTCTGCACGAGGATATATACACAACTGGGCACCAGGTGAGCCGCGGCTTCCAGTTACACACATGATAGGAACAAAAGCCGTTCCCTGTGCACCCGCCGATGCGTGCTCCCACCATATAAGGTGAAAGACAGAGCTCCGGCCTTATATGGCTAAAGACAGTGTTACCATAGTCAACATCTGTGCCGCAGGTGAAAGGGGGATGGGGGGGGGGGTATCACAGCACAGGCCCAGAGACGATGTGCCTCTTCCAATGCAAACCCACCCCCATGTTCGACCTTAGACAGTGGATAGGACGCCATGATCAGCTTACCGGCAGATGCCGACACAGCCTCCCTCCCTACAGCCCTGTGAAGCTCAGACAGGCACGGTGAAATCAGAGACCATTATTGGAATCCCCCCCCCCTTTTTTGGACTCCCTTCAATCAGTCCCCCACCTGAACCGTAACAGACAAAACACATACAGCCCTAACGTCTCACTAAAATCTATGTCTATAAACCTGCATCTACTACACAAAGCCACTTATGATCAGAAATCAGCAGTGATCATTATGACCCATATCATCACACAGTGTAGCCCAGCAATAAATAAATCATCTAACAATGACAACTACACACTACATGCTCACAGAGAAACACATTCTCCACTTTCCACATTGGTGCAAATGAGGTCAAGGGTAACGCAGAAAGAACGTGTGAAATATGACACGTTTCACTCTAAAACACAACAGTAACAGGCCGCACCCCCACCCCTCACATGACTGGAATTTGTCCTGCGTCAAGACAAAGATTCTGGGAGGTGTTTGGGGGGGGGGGGAGGGTGATGCATGTCAGTGCGCGGCAAGGAGAGGACAGCTTCCACAAAGGCGCCATTCTTGGGCATGCAGTGCATCTCGCTAAATTAACTACCTCAAGCCTTCATTGCGATAAACAGCCCATTAGTTTTAGGGCTGCGGATGCGGCTCTTAAGGGTTGTCAGAAAGACCCAGCACACTCACCAACTCCCACCAAGACCAGAATAACAAAAAGCATGACAGACTCGTCATAAGTAAAGAGAGGCCTTGTTTTAATACAACTGCAGCACAGAACCTGCAGGGACCACGTCATCAATGCGCATATGCTTTGTCGGCTGTTTTTAAATCGACACATTTATGTAATTTGCTGTGATTACAGTTCTCACTGCATAACACCCAAGTGTGCATATAATGCAGGTGCAGAATGTAATAATGGAAAATCACAGCTACATCAAAGCTACAGACCTACATATTAATATATGTACCAGACCAGAGGAGTCTTTAAGGTGAGCCTGGTGCTAACAGGGAACTACAGGGAAACCTAATAAGGTGATATTATTGGTGTGCTCCTTCCGAAAATAAATCCAGAAGGCAATACAGCCAACAACAGTAATAAAAGCTCATCTTACACTAAAGTCAGTAAGACACTAAATTGCTTATGTTGTGAGCTGACCCTGCAATTTGCTTTCTGACTTTCTAAACGGCACAAACTTATTTGGCTATTCTTGCTGCTGCCAGAGTCATTTCCACGTGAGCAAACCGAGCGCACATGGGACTCCAAGTGCACTGGTACTTCCTAACGGGGCACCGTGGATGGAAATTTACGACGTCAAATTAGTGCAAAGTGCACAGGAAATAAAAGTTAATTTTCACCAGAGAACAAAAACATTTGCCAACAACATCCATCGATTGCCTCCCCTCGGGGAAGCTGCTCTGTAATTACCCTTCACGTTTGTGCCAGTTCTGTAAAAATTAAGACACCACCATACATTTTTCAAGCCTGACATTCTTGTTAGGAGGCAAAAAAGCCACAAATACAGTATCTCCTGCATCAAGCCTCATCCAGAGTAACAACATCAGGACAGGTTTCCTCACCTCAAAATAACATTTCAAAATGGGGTCAGACAGCACAGTCTGCTCAGGGGCCCAAGCAGATCATGCATATTGCTACGGCTTCCGGGCATCACATGAGTCCCATGAAACCTCCTGGCTGTCACATGACCCAGTAATTATTGCACTGCTTAGCCCATAAGCTATTATTTGGCTACAAACACTGGCAAGAACACAAGACAAGGATGATGGCCCACAAATGGTATGGTGGCAGTAGATGCTAAAAGTTACTTCACCAAACAGTGTTCTCCAGTGTCTATAATGAGCACATTTTTCCCTATGTTTTCACATTCGGTACTGTATACCTCACTATTAAGGGATTCAATAAATCCACATCAACCCAAAAAACACACACATTATGGTTTCAACCATATGCTCCATCAGGCAATGTCCATAAACCCTATTTAGTAACTATTCACCACTGAGAATTCATATTATAAGCCACGCAGTAATTAACAAGCCCCAAATGCTTAAATCACTATGATCTCGTTCAAAATGAAACAACACTGCCACCTAGTGCCACACAGATTCAACACCAAGCTTCCTGAATCAAATTAGTCCATGATGGAAATGTAAATACTATTACTATATACAAATTAGTCACATTCCCAGAAAACACATGCAAGCAGAAGCCAAAACAGAAGACTACTTACTATAAACCAAGGTATATTTGGTATCATCTGACTTCATTCCCTGAGTCATATCAAAATAACTATAAATATTACTGTAAAAACTATCAATAAAGACAAAAGGTCAATTTACTTGGCAGTTATACAAGCTCAACAGAATCTGGTCAGGTGATAAATGGCTGCCCTGTTTTCTTCCTGGGGATTTGTGAACCGGAGTCTCTAAATTGGCCAAAGCATGCGAGTGATCGTTAGCACTGTTGCCTCACACCTCCAGGGTTGGACTTTGAATTGCACCATCACTCTGTGTGTGGGGGAATGAAGATCTTCTCTGTGCCCATCCAGTACAAGAATATGCAGTCAGGCTAAATGGCATCTCTCAACAGCCTGGCATCCCATCTAGGCAACCCCTGTGCCCTATGTCACCTGGGACGGGCTCCAGGACCCCCACAACCCTGTCCAGAAAAAGCATCTGGAAGACTGAGAGAGAAAAATATACAGTACCAGTCAAAAGTTTGGACACACCTACCAAGAGAAAGGTTTATTTGTACTATTCTCTACATTTCAGAATGATTATAAAGACATCAAAACTATAAAATAACATATATGGAATTATGTACCGACCAAAAAGTATTTTAAAAATTTGGTTGGAGGGTGGGGCAGCTCTGGGAGTTGGGACTCAGAATGCTATCAGTTCAAATCCTGTGGTGGGCAGAGAGATGCCACCACTGGGCCCTTAAGCAAGGCCCCTAACCCAAATTGCTGCACAGACTAGCTTCATGAGGTGGCCATCTCTGCATATATGCTGAGCACTCATTGGTCGCTTTTCCTTCACTCTGGTCAAACTCCTCCAAAACCCTTTCTACTGTGTTTTGGTCAGTTCTTACTTATCTGAACTTATTTCACTTGTTCAACATATTTTATTTTACTTATCTTAAACTTTTCTAATACTAAAGCTATATATACACTATGCTATGCTGCTGTCTAAATTTATGTTTGCTGCTGTAACAAAAGAATTTCCCAGTCTAGGTCAACTGTCTAGAACTGTATCAATACTACAATTGTTGAATACTTTCTTGTTCTAAACCTTTCCTGATAAAAAATATGCTGTTTATGTTAAATATGTTAATTGCAGTGCAATGCAAAGATTAAGTAAAATATCTACCTCTGACATGCTAAAGTACAAATCAAATGTTTCATTCTATGCTTTTTTCCCACATTTGCCATTTTAAAAACAGAATTTACACTTCATTTATGCACAAAGAAGCACACGGTTTATGCAACTGGTAGTTGAAGCTTACAAAACATTCTCAACATAGCCATCCTTGGTAGTTAAAGGTTGTTAATGTCTGTTAATTAAATTTGGCCTGTTCTAAATTTTATTACTTGAATCATTTCAATATTGCAGTGTTAACCATCATGATACAATGGTAATATGTTAATGCAACGCAATGTAGTGGATCATGACACTAATATTGTACCATGGGCTAGTTAGCAATACCAAGCCATTTATTTATTTGTGTGTGTATACATCTATCTGATGAGTGTCACTTACACACTGGGTACCCAGAGGCGGACAGTCTTGTCCCTGGATGCTGATGCTACAAGGTGTCCTGAGGGGGAAAACTGGACGGACATCACTGCGTCCTTGTGTCCCACAAAGCGATAAGCTCTCATCTGACTCTTCATGTTCCAGATCATGATACACGAGTCCATAGAGCCTGTGGCTGAAAAGAACACGGTAAACTCGTGTCAAGACTGACATGACACTGCGGATGCAGATGTGAATATTAACGGATCCGTTTTACTAAGTACCTATTTGCTTCATGTTGCTGTTGAAGTCCACACTAGTTATGGTGTCTCTGTGACCCTTAAAATGTCTCTCAAGCGTTGGGTCTTCCTGCGACAACATCAATCACAGAAACATTATATCACGCTTTACGGTTTCATAGCGGATTAAGTACTGTAAAAACAGCTAAGGTACATGTTGGTTTAAGATAACTATATGCATGCGTTTAGGTTTTATTTAATCAAAACAAAGTATCCGAACAAAGCAGCGATGCATGTTATTCGTGTTTAGATAGGTATCAACATAAAAAGGGCAAGATATACATCATTACAAAAAATGCTTACCAAAGCGGAAGTCATTTTGAATAATGTGAAATCTAACACAACCCGAGAGCGAATAAGTTATAAAAAAAATACTTTAAATGGCTATGTAAATGTACTTCTCGGGTGTTAAATAGCTGGCCCCATTCGGCGACAGACTCCAGAATTGTCAAACGGCAATATCGTTAACTAGAAAAGCTGAAGTATTTTGGAAATGGCATTCGCAGGTAGCCATATCTAACTGGAAAATTTAATTTCGGTAACAGCCCGTTAGCTGAAGTTCAAAAGGAGCGCGTTTCTAACTTAGCTAGCTAGCCAGCCAGCTAACTAAACAATAAACAGCCGTTTTTAGTTTACGCGCCGGTTTAGGCGCCTATAATGTTCGACCGGATTTTAAAGGGAAAGTGCCCAGAGGATTATCTGTTTTGCCGATTTAAAGTAATCCTGCTCCCTAACGGAAGTACAGGCGGGTGGGTCTCGACTTATGCAAAAATTGTTCCACGACCCCTAGCGTAAGTCGGATTTACTTTACTATACATTCAAGAGTCCTTGTAGCAAAACCACATAAACCTAACATATATTAGTAATGCATATTAAAGAGCACATATTAAATAAATGGAAATGCAGTGCAAATTTACTTAAAATGGTATGTCAGCTTTGCGCATGCACTTCCTTTTACTCTTTGTAGGCTTATAAATCGAGAGCAGTCTGTAGCAATCCAATCCATCCGTCCATTTTCTGTACCTACTTGTACAATTCAGGATCACATGGGTCCGGGATAGGCTTTTACTTTTTGCATTACACCAGAACAGTACATTAAATTGATTGGACAATAGATGTGTCTTTATGGTCACACACTGAATACACTGGTGCTGAAAATCCATCTAATGAATCCAACCATCCATCCATTTTCTGTAACCATCCATCCATTTTCTGTACCCACTTGTCCAATCCAGGGTCACAGGGCGTCCAGAGCCTATGGGCGCAAGGCACAATGAATCTTATTGTCACGTGCAGGAGCATCACTAGAGATTTATAAAAGGGGGGTTAAACCTTCATTAGGGTGGTCTGATGGAAATGGGCCACATTATTTAAACTAATTGGTGTACATTTATTAAGTCCCCCAGAAATAGGTGTAACGGCGTAATATAGTTTTGCCCTAAGATTTCTTGGTGAGCGTGAGTCAGAGAGCGCGAGTGTCACGCCAGATGCATGAGTTGGCAACCCTGATTGTAATATTGATTTTTTTTAAATCCACATCACTTTGAATTAAATTAACTTGAATTGGTCTACACAAAGCAAACAGGATCAAATGTTTCTTTAAATCATTCTGTGCAGCATTTTTACAATTTCAAATTTAATTAGATTTAAATTACCTTCAAATCCCATCAGAGAAAACAAACATTTATGTTATACGCCCATATATACCCCATTTTTTATCTATTATTGTATATTTCATATATTTTTCTTTTTACCATATTTAATAGGCTACTCAGTTTTTCTTTTAACGATGCATTACACATTATGCATTAGATCTTTATATAAAATATGGAAAGAGGTTGGAAATGCATCATACGTTCAGCAAACAAACAAAATGCAGAACAAAGATATACAGGCCAGTACATCGTAATGCGTGTCTTTAGACACCAGGGGTCAGAAGAATAATATGACATTTATTGTTCAGTTTCCCGTTTTCTAGTAAAGTTCATCTATGCCTCTTGTATTTGTTTCTCCTGCTCAGAGTCGCTGGTCCTTTTATTATGGTTAAGGTTAGGGTTAACACAGGGCACATCCTGCGATGGCGGTGGAAGTGTAGAGTGATACGAGCTTATATTAAAATATTGTTTGTATTTTTAAACAACGTTTTCATGAGTGCCGATTCTACATTTCAACCAGGGGGGGGGGGGGGTTAGCTGTCACCGCAAGCCACTGCCAAGAACCTGCGAGTAACGAGGTTCCAGCTGTCCTGGGCCACAATGTCAGCGGTCAGTGGGACATGGTGCCATTTCCACGTCGCCTGTAAGGACGGTCTCACCAGTCGGTGTCTTTCAGGAGACACCACTAGTTTGTGACAGAAAAGGGGGGGGTCACTCATATTGTAGTCCACTTGATTAGTTGTTGAAAGTTGTAAAGTTGTTGAAAGTTGTACCTCAACATGCAAACCTATGAATCAAAGGCACAATAATGAACTCTTACATCTGGACTCTGAATAGTTATGAATACTGAGTACTGTTACCATACTTTTTTTCATAATATTTATTTATAGGTGCTGGACAATTTGTGTGTGCATTTTCTTTTTAATGTAATGTTAATGCATTTTATACATTCTTTTGTATGCCATTTTAAAATAATGAAAACTTTTGCAGGGCCAGTTGTTCTGCTGGAGGGGGGGCAGATGCATTTGACCATAATGTCCTCCAAGAATTACTTACACTTACACTAGATTGCCAGCATTGAGAAACAAAAGACAATTTTGAAACCAATGTTATTTATGCAAATATGTAACTCACTTTAATCTTTTTCTTTAGACTGTCTTGCTTCCACAAGCTTGACTTCAAACCCAAAGTAGCATACGTATTTTGGGGTAATGGGGGACATGCCGAGACCAAAACCGTCGGAGAGCTAATAGGGTCAGGCCTGTTGGGATCGGGGCTGGTGTGGTGCTGAGGTGTCACCTGCTGTATGGCGGCACTTGGGTCCCAGTTTGAGGCGGCCCATCCGGGTGGGCGTGAGGAACGTTTTGGCTCTCCGGCAAGATGACCATCTTCCTCTGCTGAGGGGGGAGCACTCTCTGAGGTACGCAGACCGGGGAGTGGTCAGATCTCTGTAGGTGGGTATGCCTACTTTTGGTGTGGTCAGTCTGATGGCTGCCATATTCAGGTAGTAGCTGTTGCTGTAGCGGATCGGCTCCTTCCGATGGTGTCTGACGTCACGTCTTTCAACGAGCATATTATGAAACTCAGGCTAAGGCACTCCTTGGGTGTCTTGTCTGTTGCCTCAGTGTATGCTCAGACCGCGATGAGTGATGTCTCATTGAGGGAGACATTTTACTCGCAACTTCGCTCGGTGGTTGAAGGGTGCCCACGAGGTGACACTCCTCTGGTCATGGGTGACTTCAATGCGACCACTGGCACTGACAGGCTGGCTATGAAGATTATGTCGGTCCCCATGGGTCTGGAGACCGTGGTGAAAGTGGCTCCATCGTCCTTGACTTTGCGAAAGGTCAGGGGTTGTGGGTCGCTGGATCCTGGTTCCAGAGCCCTGAACCGCATCGTTAGACTTGGTACTCCAGTACTGGTGGTGCAGCAAAGGAGATCAATTACATCCTCGTGGGCAGATGCTGGGGACTCCTGCAGGACTGCAGGGTCTACAGAAGTGCCCAGTTTGTGAATTCTGACCACAGACTTGTTGTTGCTACTCTGAAGATTTAGCTTAGATCCAGTAGGCTACCACCTACTAGGGGAACAAGGCTGGACTTAACCAGACTCCAAGATCAAGCTCTTTCTGATGAGTTTGCACGCAATTTGTGTGAAGAACTTGCAGACTTTGGTGCGACTGCTGACTCTACTGTGATGTGGGAGATCTTCCGTGATAAGGCCCTGAAGGTTGCCGAGAGTTCTGTTGGTGTTGCCAGTGTTCCCAGAAGGAAATGTTTCATCTCGCAGGGCACCCTGAATATTATCGAGAGGAGTCGCAGCGCACGACTTGATGGCAACTCCAGTCTGCACTGGGAAATGAGAAAGACGGCTGTGAGGGCTCTGAGGGCAGATAGGAGGTGTTTATTAGACAAATCTGTGAGCAGGTGACACACCATCTGTGGTCTAGTGACCCACGTCCTGCATACAGAGGAATCAAAGCATTATGCACATCTGAATCTGTTCCTCGGAGACTTGCAGTCAGAGCGAGTGATAGAACGGTTCTTACGGGTAACACTGCAGTTGTGACCCGCTGGGCCAGCTACTTTGAGCAGCTGTTTAAAGCTGACCCTCCGGCTAGGATGTTGGACATCTCTGGGTTCACGGTTCTCGAAGTTGATCCCCCGATCAGCTGAGAACCACCCAATCTCACTGAGATTGCGCGGGTGGTGAATCTACTGGGGGTTGGGAAGGCCGCAGGGATCTGTGGTATCTGGGGTAAACATCTCCAGGCTTGTGGTAAGGCTGTCCTCCAGGCAATCTTTGCTTCTATTTGGGAGTCAGGCACCATCCCAACTGACTGGAAAACGGGACTTGTGGTCCCTATCTTGAAAGGGAAGGCTGATTCCTGGATTGTGGCAACTACAGGGGGATAACACTGCTTTCAGTGCCAGGTAAGGTCCTTGTTAGGGTCATCCTTAATAGGATCCGTGAACACTTGTTTGTCTGTCAGTGACCAGAGGAGTCTGGTTTTACACCTAAGAAGTCTACCCTCGATCGTATCCTTGCACTGAGGGTTCTCATTGAGCGCAAGCTCGAATATCGGCAGAGGTTCTTTGCAGCCTTTGTTGATTTTTGTAAAGCGTTCGACTCAGTTGATCGAGTTGCCCTGTGGGACATCCTGAGACTTCACGGGATCCCCTCGAAGTTACTGGACATCATGGCCGGCCTGTACACTGGTACTGTGAGTGCTGTGCAGAGTGGAGGGGGAACCTCTGCATTCTTCCCAGTTGATTCTGGGGTTCGCCAGGGGTGTATTCTTGCTCCTACTCTGTTCAATGGTTGTATGGACTGGGTGCTGGGCAGGGTCGTGGGGTCCAGCAGCTGTGGGGCGTCCGTTGGTGAAGAAAGATTTACTGATCTTGACTTTGCCGACGATGTCAATGGAGGCTCTGATCGGGGCTCTTGAGAGACTGAGTGAGTAGTCTGAGTGTCTGGGATTGTGGGTGTCCTGGTTAAAGACCAAGATCCAGTTAATTAATGACTTCTTGGGCACAGCTATCAGTAGTGTGTCCGTCTGCAGGAAGAATGTCAACCTTGTTGAGAGACTTACCTACCTCGGCAGTGACATTCATGTCTCTGGTGACTCTTCCTATGAAGTCAGCAGACGGACTGGAAGATTGGGAGGTCATGAGGTCGCTGGAAAGGGGTGTGTGGCGCTCCTGGTCTTTGCAAGAGGACGAAGGTCCAAGTCTTCAGAGTCCTGGTGCTCCCTGTCTTGCTGTATAGCTGTGAGACATGGACGCTATCCAGTGACCTGAGACGGAAACTGGACACCATTGGTACTGTGTCTCTTCCGTAGGGTTGCTAGAGGAGTCCCGAATGAGGCACATTACCTGCATTGTAAGGGAGAATCAGTTACGGCACTACAGCCATGTGGCGCATTTCCCTGAGGTCGATTTGGCTCACAGGATCCTCATTGCTGAGGAACCAAGCAGCTGAACCAGGCCATGGGGACGCCCACATAACACCTGGCTGCAGCAGATGGATGGCCATATCCAGAGGGTGGGACTGGACCGTGTAT